TCCACTGGTGATTTCAGATGGACGTCATGTGGCAAAAGAAACACAGGTAAATAAACATAAAAATGTGCATAAGATGGGGATTGTGCAATAATTTTGCTCCAGGAAACAATCACACACACTGTTGCTAATGAGTGTGTGGGAGGTGGAAGTTGTTGTGGGAGGCTGGGGAGGAGGGTTTTCCTGCTGGCTTGCACCTTTCTTTACTATTTGAATTTGTTACATTTGTACATGAAATATTTTTTAAAAAATCTAACGAAGGGCCTACCTGGGTGATGCAATTATTGGCCATCTAGTTTTTATTTATTGAGCCACACTTCCAGCCCAAAGTCTTGCATTTTTCACCTGGGGTCAGCCTGGCTCCTGATCCTCCTACTTAGGTCTTCTGCATAGTTGGGATGACAGGTGCCTGGCTTATTGGTTGAGATGGGGGTCTCCCTAACTTTTTTCCTGGGTTGTCCTTGAACCATGATCCTTCAGATCTCCTCTTTCCAAGTAGCTGGGATTACAGACGTGAGCTGCCATGCCCAGTCCTTTTTCTATTTATAAGAAGCAACCTGCCGGGCAACGGTGCCTCACACCTGTAATCCTAGCTACTTAGGAGGCAAAGATCAGGAGGATCGAGGTTTGAAGCCAGCTTGGGCAAATAGTTCACGAGACCTTATCTCAAAAATACCCATCACAAAAAGGGCTGGCGGAGTGGCTCAAAGTGAGGGCCCTGAGCTCAAGCCCCAGTACTGAAAAAAAAAAAAAAAAAAAAAGAAGCAATTTTATGAATATTTTCTGGGAGGGAAAGAAAAAGAGGGTAAGAAAGGAGAGAAAATGCAAGGAAGCAGTGATGGAAAAGTGGCTTGCAGAATGGGAACATGTCCAAATGAGCCCCAGAGCCCTGTAACTATGACACTAGAACTCCAGGGACAAAGCGAAAAGTGCAGTGACCAAGGGAGTAAGAACAATGTCCAAAGACCTTGCCGAAGGAAATAAAACTAATTCTGTCTTAGAGCTGAACTTCTCACCCACTTTCAAAATATCCAAAGAATGTACTGGCTAGGGCCATTCTATTTTATTATATTCCCTTCTTCCTACACACATATTATAGAGGCTGGCAGAGAACAGAATGGGTAGGTGAAAAATGAACATTTTCTCAGAAGCTAGTGGGAAGGATCCTATCGCATGCTTTGTTCCTTCTCCATTGGCACTGGGTTCATGGCCAGTCCACACTGACTGGCTCAGCCAAAACTTGTTTGTTAAAGAAACATGAGGTCATTTCTTTCAAGCAGTTAATTGCACAAGAATATGTTTGCTTTCAAAACCAAATTCTACTACCAAAAAAACCTATTAGAGCTAATAAATGAGTTCAGCAAGGTTACAGGATACAGTTAGTACACACACACACAAACACACACACACACGCACACACACATGCATACACACATACGAATACACACACATACACATATATACACACACACACACATATACACACACACATATACACACATACACACACACATATATATACACACACACATACACATATACACACATACATACACACATTCACACGTACACATATACAACTCTTATATTTCTACACACTAACAATGAACAATTTGAAATAATGAAAACAATTTCATTTATAATAGCACCAAAAGCCAGGCACGGTGGTACATACTTTAATCCCAGCACTTGGGAGAATCATGTTTGAAGCCAGCCTGGGCTACATAGTGAGTTCAAGGCCAGGCTGGGATATGTAGTGGACCCTATCTCAAAATAAGTAAGTAAATAAGCAGTAATATAATAGCACTAAAAAGAATAAACATTTAGGCAGGCATGGTAGTGCAAGGAGGAGACAGGAAAGATCATGATTTGAGGCCAGCCTCGGCAAAAAATTATCATCTCAATAAACAAACCAGGCATGGTAGTATTCATCTGTAATCTCAGCTGCATGGGAGGTATATGTAGGAGGATCATGGTCCAAGACCTACTTGGGAAAAAACATGAGACCCTAAATGAAAAATAACCAAAGCAAAAATGGCCTGGGGGCATTGCTCAAGTGGTAGAACACCTGCTAGCAAGCACAAAGCCCCGAGTTCAAACTCCGTATCACCAAAATAAAATAAAATAGAACATTTAGGAATAAATTTAACAAAAGAAGTGTAACATGTGAACACTGAAAACTACAAAACACTGTTGAAAGAAATGAAAGATCTATGTAAATAGAAAGACACCCCATTCTCATGGATTGGAAGATTTACTGTTACCACAATGGGCTATGGGTTTGAATGCATTGCTCAAGGCTCATATGTTGGAAACTTAATCCCTGATGCCAGTGTTGAGAGGGGCCTTCAGGTCACAAGGGAAAAGCCCACATGAATGGATTAATGGTTTACTGGGGACTAAGTTGGTTATCTCGGAAGAAGTTTCCTGGTAAAGGATGAATCCCGACCCCTTTCCTCTCAGGCACTCTCTGGCTATGTGCTGGCTTCTGCCATGTTATGACACAACAAGAAAGTCCTCATCAGACATGGCCCTTCTATTCTGGACTTCCCAGCTTCCAGAACTGTGAGCCAAATGTACTTCTATTGTTTATAAATTACCCAGTCTGTGGTATTCTGTTGAAGCTACACAAACCAGACTAAGACAGATGGCAACACTACCCGAAGTTATCTATAGATTCAAGACAATCGCAATCAAAACTCCAGCTGTTATTTTTTGCAGAAATTGACAAGCTGATCCTAAAGTTTGTTTGGAAATGCAAGGGACTCTGACTAGCTAAAACAATTTTAAAAAGAGTACAACTGGAGGACTCACACATCCCAAATTTGAAATTTGCTACAAGAAGTCACGAATTTGCTCACATATTCCTTAAATCATCCCTAGATGACTTAGAATAACTAATGCAATGTTGCGGCTATGTGAACAGTCATTACACTGCAGTGTTTAGGGAATCATTCAGAAGAGGCTGGAAAAGTGAGTTTTTTGGGTTCTGCCCTGCAGGGGTAGGATTCATGAGGGTGGAAATTCTTCAGACTGTCAGAGTGTTCAAAGAGCACCGACAATCAGAAAACATGACAAGTATCTTTTAAATCTTTTGAACCAGTTCTGTCCAATGAAACAAAATGGGAAGAATGCCCTGATAATTAAAAGGTAAAAGTATGCAAGCAATGGCCTCTTAGGCCCCATTTTCTCCCAGTCTGCTTTGAACTCTGCTGTCTCATGAGAACATTAGTGATGGTTGGAGCTATGGCAGCCATTCCATAGCCTTGAGGGGGAGTAGTGAAAAGGACAGACACAGAAGTCAGGGTCCTGACACTGCAGAGCTGTTGAATCATCCACCTCTGGTTTCTTGTCATGTGAGATAATAAACTCTGTTCATTGGAAATTTAGTAGTGATAGTCAAAATATACTCACTTAAAACATAGTTTGAAAAGTGGAAAGATACGGAGATGCTAGATCCCATTCCCTGCACCAACAGGTGTGGACGGCCTCACAAGGGCAGGACTGTGTCTCTGAGGGGCATGCTCCCTGCAGGTGGTGAGCTCAAAGTCCCCACTAGCTTGCCTGCTTGCCACTCCTCCACAAAGCACTTCCTGACTCTTGCCTCCTGAAGGCAAGCTCTGTCCCCCTGGAAGTTGTGTCACTCCCTCTGCCTTCTTCCTGTCTGAGGGTAGTTGCTCATGTTGTCCTGTCCCCCTTGACCACCAGCATTCTGAGGATGGGGCTGGGCCTTGTTCATCCTGGAACTCCTCCTCCAGCCAGTAGGTGCCCAGGCGCAGGAGGTAGTGCATGCAGCTGGGGTCTTAGGTGATGTCCACCAGACATGCTCTAGAGCTAGGGAACCAGAGCTGAGCTGACCAGGAGCCTGTTAGGAGCTGCCTTGTGACCTCCTGACAGAGAGTAAAGCAAGAACAACGTGGCAAGAGGCAAAGGAGAGTGGGGTGGAGAGACACATACCACTGCATAGAGGAAAGACACAGACAAGGGAGGGCTCTGTTCCCCAAAGGGCAGGCATGCCGCAGAGGCGGCTACTGGGGCTCAAAAGGGCAGCACGGGTTGCAGGGGCAGAGGTTAGATAAAGGGAGAGCACATGGCAGAGACTGCGCTGCTCAGAAAAGCCCAGTCTCATCTGGAGCCTTCTCATCTGACAGATGGCCCCCAGCCTGGCCAGCCCCCGAAGCACAGAAGCACAATACAGGAATGCAGAGGGTTGGGCGCTCCTGGTGCAACAGGGGCTGCAACCTTGGCCCTCAGAGTTCAGTGCTTGTGTACTTCAGCAGTAGGGTAGACAGAGGTGGGGTCTGGCCACTGGTGAATCCCTCTCATTGTCTGCTGTAAGCAACTTCCAAATGGGTACATGATACTGTTTTGGTGCCAAAGTGTCTAGGTTCAGGTAACCAATGATGACAACCCGGGAGGGGTGTAGCCACTAAGGGGAAATTAATTGCTTCTCTGAAACTCTGAATTAAACACAACCACCTAAATGCTAGGACCAAGGTACAGTCTCTAACTCCAGCCCAGACCAAACTCAGAGGTGTTGCTGACACCCTCTTGGCCAAGGAGGTCTGTCCATGGGGGAAGGGGCAGCTTTGAGGCCTTCCCTGTTGATGACTCCAATTCAATTGCCTGATGTAATGCAATTCTCCTTCCTGGGACCCTGAAGAAGAACCTGGAGGCAAGCCGTCCCTTAGATTCCCCAGCCGGCCTTAGGTTGAACTCTCCTTCCTGGACTGCTTGGGGATCCTAAGAGTCTGTGAGGTCAGACTGGAGTTGGCCACGGTGACCTGAACCTGAAGCCAGATGGAGGTGCCAAGGAGCCTGTCAGCTCAGCTTTTTATTAACACTGGAGTCAGAGCCAAAGATGGATGACCTGATGTCTCTACCTCAAGTGATGCAATGTCCCCACTGGCATCTCCCTGCACAATGGACTCCAGCAGGACAAAGAGTCATGCTTTATACAGGCTCAGGAGATCAAGTACTCCAACCTGTACCCCGGTACTTACCAGACTGACGGAAGAGTCCATCCACACTGAGATCCCAAAGGAGACCAAAAGCTCTCGAAGACGTTTCTGGAGGCCATGTTAGTAACTAGGAAGAAAAAGAAAAAGGCTGTTCTTATGGCGTAGCAAACTTTATATATACATATGCATATATATTGTTCCATAGTAAATGAATTTCGTTTAATCCTCACAAGTCCACATTACTGCCTCTCTATAAATAAAGAAATCATGCTAGAATTGTCAAGAAACTCCTCCAGGGTCACACAGCGAGGAAGTACCAAAGCCAGGATTCAAGCCCAAAACCAGGTAGTATGTGTGACTTGAAATCTACTGAATCCAGCTGCATGGAGTCTTAGTCTTCTGCCTCTCATTCCCTGTGGTCACAGCCATGGCCCTCCAGGCCAGAGGGCCAGTGTGGGGAGAGAAAGGGCTTGCAAGCACTGAGTAGAGTCACCTGGCTAACAGAGTTGGCTCCATCAGTGATCATCCCATCATTTCCAGGACAGTGTCTTAATTTATGGTCATCTGAGACCACTGGCCAAGGAGGTCCTCGGTACCTGAGCACAGATCCTCAAACAGAAGGTAGTTACCTACCCTCCTCCTTCTCACTTATTTGAATGCTCCTTGAGTCTGAGTCATACACTGGGGACTGGAGAATGGAAAGTGACATGGAAATGAGCAATGGGACAGCGCCTGCCCACAAGTGCCAGCTGGTCTGGGGACACATAGACAAGGCCAGGCCTCAGTGGTGGGGCTCTTGCCCATGGTTGGTTATGCTGAGTACTCCTCCAACCTCCTTCTGAGAATGCTAGTAAAGGACTGTTGTGGTGGATGCATGGATACATGCCCTTTTGGGGACTGAGGTTCTTGCTTCTCCAGGACTGGGCCAGAAGGTCTGGAGCCTTGGAGGCTGTGTCTGCCAAGGTTGTACCTCTCTGCAAGTACAGTGTGCATTTGATAACTAGCCAATACCGGGGTCCACAAGCTGGATCCCTTGCCTCAGTTGGGACAACTCTAAAGGGTCATCAGGTTCCAGAGCACACCTCCCCCCAACTGTGAGACTGGAGGGGAGACTCAAGGCCTGGGGACTTGGTTGCAATGAATCCCTTGCTGCTTGTCTTCTGCCTCCTTTGGGTTTACTGCCCTTCCTTCCTCCCAGGTGTGGTTCCTGAGATCACAGGCCAGTTGGCTTGCAAGGAAACCTTGGCTTCAGTCCAGAACTCTGCCTATCTTCTCCCTTCCTAACTTGACTTGGCATCACTTTTTAGAGCTGAATGCTTTTTTTTTTTTTTCAAACTAGGGTTTGAACTCAGGACCTCATGCTTGCTAGGCAGGCACCCTACCACTTCAGCCACTCCATCAGCCCTTTTTTGTGTTGAGTATTTTTGAGATAGGGTCTCTCAAACTATTTGCCTGGGCTGGCTTTGAACCATGATCCTCCTGATCTCTACCTCCCGAGTACCTAGGATTACAGGTGTGAGCCACTGGCGCCTGGCTCAGAGGTGAATGCTTTAACAAGAATATAAACTCATCAAGAGCATATGCTATCTGCTCTAGTCCACTTTTCCTGGCGAGGTCCACCAGCAGGTACACACGAGGGCTCTGGTGATGAACACTGAGGCCAGAGCCTATTCACCCAGTGCCTATGGTACACCCACCAAAGCCCTGAGAGTAGAAAGGAGCACAGGACTGGGTCCCCATGAGAACTAGGGTGTTCTTTCCAAGGAGGCAGTCAAGTGAGCAGGGTTGGTGAGGCCTGGCAGTCCCAGCCCCTCATTCAGAATGGACCCAGATGCACATGTGGGCCCATAAGTCTTGTTGGCCTGCATACTTAGCTATGTTTCATTGGACCAGAGGACCATTTGGTCTCTCAGGGCAAGCACATTCTCCTGCCTGGGGATTCAGGTTTGAGAACAGTGCCTGGCCTTATTTGGTCATGGAGCCTGGGGAGGAGAGAGAAGTGGCGGCAGCGTGCAGGACTCACTCATTTAACTTCCATGTGGCACTATGGGCCAAAGCAAAGTGGATGCCCAGCTTGCTTGCACCTAGTCTGTCCAGCCTCAGGGCTGGGTCTCCAACTCCTCTTCTCTGTGGGCCTCTCCCAACCTAATGGATGTGGGAGAAGAGACAGGGAAGGGCTCACACATAACACTAAGGTCTGGGGTCTCAGAACCTTGTGGAGACAGAGTCACCAGTGGGGAGGGCACTCCACACCATGTCAGGGTCACACAAGGACTCTCTGTGGGCGACGTCTTAAGAGGGGCTCTTTGTGTCTCCCAATGCCCGATTGTGCATTTTGTCATATGCTGTGCAAGGAGCAGAGAGAAGCTGTGCTGACTGGGGTGGAGAATAATGGCCTCACTGTTCCATCCCTCACCCGCCGCCCTCCTCCAGCCTGGGCAGGGGGCGAGAGCAACACACACACACAAGGGTCCCAGGAGCCTGGTGTCCTCCTCTGGGATAGGGAAGAGCATGGTGGATGACCCCAGAGGGAAGGAGAGAGTTCTGGAGGGCTCTTTCTGGAAGGCAGCCAGCTTTCTGAGGCTGAGGAGTTCCTTGAATAATCCACCCTGCTTGAAAGCTCTGATTTACAGCTGAGCTCCAGGCCCCAACTGGCAGCACTGGGACCAGCTGGAACTTGTGCACTGCCCATCCCCAGACAGGGACAGCACTGGGTGGGGGCCAAGGCCAGGCCAGCATGTCATGCTGTGCATTCAGATCCAGCATTGGTTCCTAGGCTGTCTGCTGGCTTCTCACTGTCTCTGCGTGCAAAGGTTTCCAGCCCCAGGGTAGAATGCATGTTCCTCCAAGGCAAAATGTTCTAGCAGCAGCCAGGAGGAAGAAACTGGGGCAGAGTGAGTTGTTCTAGGCTTTTCCAGCCCACCTACAGCTGCACAGCAGGATGCAAACACATCCCAGAGCACCCGCAGATCTGAATTCATGAGGCCCCACACCTCCAGGGGTGATACAGGACTGTGGTGGGCCCTGAGCAGCCCTCCAGCTGCATATGGGAGGAACGACATATGCCTATGGGAGAGGAGATGAGTTCACAGTGGAAGCCTGTATTGAGTAGCACCACCCAGTCACTGAGAAGGTTGAGCTCAGTCCAGATAGAACACCAGGTCCCTCAAGAAAGCCAAGATAGGGCCCTGGCACAGGATCACCCCAAGAGGTATATATTCTGGAGGGGAGGAGCAGAGGTTCCCAAGCAGTAGTCAGCTGGATGAGACCACAGGTAGGTGTTTGTGTCTTCCTGAACTTGGCATTCTTAGCGTTAAGGTGACCACGGAGGAGGCTCCTCAGCCTTCCTCCTTTCTCTGGGCCTGAGACAAGCCTCTCAGCTTGTAGATCTGCCTGGACAACTAGACTGCACTGCTCCCGCCACCTAGTGGGAACCACCTAGAACTGTGGTTCTCACCTGGAACAGCCACTGGAGCAGAGGCACCAGGGAATCTGATGTATGCAGGTAGAGGTTGCTCAGGAGGCCACTGCGCAGGAAGGAAAGCTGCTTGGCTGGAGAGGAGCTGCAGGACAAAGGGGCTAGGTTAGGGTAGGCTTCACATTGGTAGCAGGACAGCCTTTCACAGCAGGGGTCTCTTGGTGCACCTATCTCTGTAACACCCAGAGAGTATTGTATCTCAGCCTTACCAAGATGGGAACTCTAAGGACAAATGTGCTTTTTATTTCATGTATTTTTTTTTGGCATTACTGGAGTTTGAACTCAGGGTTTTGCATTTGCTAGGCAGATGTGCTACTGCTTGAGCCATGCCCTCAGTCCTTTTTGTTCTGGTTATTTTGGATAGGGTCTCACTTTTTGCCCAGGCTGTCCTGGACAGTGATCCTATTTTACACTTCCTGCTATAGCTGGGATGACAGGTGCTCATCAACACACTTAAATTTTTTCCACTGAGATGGGGTCACAATGGCCCAGAACTGTGATCCTCCCGATCTCAGCACCACCTTCCCCCACCATAGCTTGGAATGTCAGCTATACCCAATTATTATTATGTCCACTGTGCCCAATTATTGGTTGAGAACTATTTGCCTGCACTGGCCTTGGACCACAATCCTCCCGATCTCAACCTCCTAAGTAGCTAGGATTACAGGTGCGAGCCACTGGTGCCCAGCCAAATGTGCTTTAATCCCTCATGCTGGGCATAAGTGGTTCATTCCTGTAATCCTAGCTACTCAAGAGGCAGAGATCAGGAGGATCGCAGTTTGAAGCCAGCCAGGGCAAATAGTTCACGAGACCCTATCTTGAAAAACCCTATCACAAAAAATTGGGCTGGTGGAGTGGCTCAAGGTGAAAGCCCTGAGCCCCAGTAAAACACACACACACATACACACACACACACACACACACACACACACACACACACACACACACAATCTTCCATGTGAAATGCTGTCAGAAGGAAAAATACCCCAAGACATCATCAGAATTGTCTGCTTTTCTCTAGTGCTTTTCACAAACATACCTCGTGTTGTCTTAAACACAGGACTGAGTAATTTATCTTGCCCTTCCCATTTGACAGAGAAGGAAACCAAGGTGTCTACCAGGGATGGGGAAAGGATTCCAGCCAGGTGAGAGGAGAACCCAAGAGTCAGATGTCTTCTCCATCTGGGGCTCTGGGTTGCAAGGAATAGACGGGATCACCCTTGAGTGCCAGAGTCTTGGGGTCTGGTTACACAGAGTGTTTCCACCCCCACTTGTGTTTTTCCAACACAAAAGAGACACCTGAGAAGATGGGAAAATAACAGAAAGAGGCCCAGGACAGGGAACTTCTGGGAGGAAATAACAATTGAAAGTTCCAAGGAAGATTCTTCAGAAACCATGTGAGCAGCACCTCTGTTGAGGGAATGGTGCTCAGGCTGGTTACATGCTGTGACCATAACCTGTGTATGCATCTGTGCTGTCCTGGAGGGCCCTTCCCTGTAACAGGGGCTCTCAGAAGCAGATGACTGGTGTGGAGACCAGCCCTGGCAGATCACCTTGACCTATAGGATCCCAGGTCTCCATAAAACAAGGAGTTATGTATTCTGTGTTGGTTGTAGGGCCCCTGGTGGAAGGTGCTTTGGAAGTCAGTTTAGAGGGGGTGGCTGGACTTTGTCACCTTCCAAACTCCTAGTCACCCCCAGAGACTGGGTTTGGGGCAGGATCTCCCACTTCCTGCGCATTTTGCTCCTTCTCTGTAGAGACATCCCGAAGTTAGCCAACGTGGATTCCAGGATATGAAAAAGTGAGGTCACATTTGTTCTTTTTAGTGACTAAATCTATGTGAAGATCATTTAGATAGAATTTAGTGTCATGACCCTAGATAGAAACGTCTTTAGCTAGCCCATCCTCCTCCTTTTTAAAAAGGACATCGTACTTTAATCTGCCAGGAACAAAATGCTACAAATCCAAGATTCTCCTCTGAGCCAAGCTGCTGTCTCTCTGAGTATGTCCAGGCAGTTTACAAATTATGTATTTTTTTCTAAGTCATTTAAGTTCAGAGGAGAACAAGGTTTTGTTCCTGTGACGATGAATTTTATGTCTCTGAAACAGACCTTCTGTGTGCACATAAACACGTGTGCACACAGGGTTGCAGGCACCCTCTATCCCATGTGCCTGGTCACATGTATGCTTTCACAGGCTGGCCCTGAGGTGCACAGTACAAGCATACACACTGCACCTCTAATGCAGACAGCACCCAGCAAACAATGTCTGAGGGCCTTGAAAAGTTCAGGGCCCTGCCAGAGGCCACATGTTGAGAATGCTGGCAATCCAGGGACTCTGAGGAGACTGACGCTGGCATTCTGCTGGGGCAGGGGGCACCCTGCCAGTTTCTCAGTGGGGGAATCGGTTGTACAAGTCCCTGCTGGCTCAGAGCAATGTGTGTATTTCCAACTGCTGCTCAGAGGGAGAGATCCCTTAGGTGGTAAAGTCTTCCTTCTGCTATGCTGGCCTTGCAGTGTACTTTTTGCCAGAGAAACAACAGACCAGCCTTTGACTTCAGTGCTGTTAACTTCACTTTCATCTGTAAGATGAGGAACAAGAGAGCCAGAAAGGCCATCATCCTGCTCTGCCTTGAGTGAATGACGTTCAAGAATTCTGGATCTAGAGCTAAACAAGATGCAAGGAGCTAGATGAGATGTAGACTGTAGCTGTGTGGTCTCTGCATATGGAGTGGTACTGTTCAATGGCATAAAGTAGTTCAAGCTTGACTTTGTGTTCAGTCATTGCCTTGCCTCTGGAGAGGAAAGAGAAGCCCCACAACAGCACTGGAGCAGCGAAGCCTGGAGGAAAAGGGAAGGGGAGGGGAAGCATGTGCAGTGATAGCTTAAAAAGCCTGGGTGACGGAATCAGCTGTTGTCAGATTTACAAAAGCCAGTATCGCATCAAGAACACTGATGCTGGATCCAAGTGGGTTCCTTTGCCAACATGGAGGTCAGAAGTTATCTTGAGAATGTCAGAGGTCTCTGGAGAAGGGAAGGGACAGCAGATGCCAGGCCAGGCTGAGTGTGAAGGCCCCAGCTGTGGCCCCCAGGATCCCAGTGAAGGGAGGTTCCCATGGAAGCCCCGAGCTGTGACTGGAGATGAGAGAGGGACAGGACATGGTCACAGTCAGAGCACTGCTAATCCCCAGCCATGACAGCAATGACAGAGGGCAGATGTCTGCTTCCACCCTCACCACACACTGGAACAGAGGGTAGAAAAACAATGCAGAATGGGGTAAACAGTTGAAAAGGACAAAGACTCAGAACAAGTAGACACCAGACAGGACCAGCTTGGGTCAGCATGTTCGGCTTCTGGAATTTCTGATCCTGATAACATCCAAAGGAAGATTCTTCCAGCTTCTACCTCCTCATCCATTTTATGGGCAGCAGTCCCAGTGGCAAAGTCTCTAAATGCCTTGGGAATCCCAAGTGACAGCAGAAGGATAAACACCAAGGGCAGTTATTTATACAGTGTTGGCTTCCGGGCCCCGGCCAAGTTCTCAAATGAAAGTTTCAATAAAATGCCTCAAAAGAATAGAACAAATAACGGCCGAAGTTTTCACCTGTGTCCCTCTTCTTTTTCTTCCTCTCCCTTCTTTAAAGATAGGCAAGTGCCACTCTGCCAGAAGCCCAGGGATCCCAGCATTGACCCAGCTGTCTGCTTCCCCTTTATTCTGGGGAACCTGTGGCTAGCTGGACGACTAGGCTCTGTCCACACCTGGTGGGTTTGCTCCAACCCTGCCATCTTCCTCCTGGAGTAATGCACACAGCAAAACAAGAGCTGGGCCTCAGGAGATACAGGGCACAAGCACCATTTAAGCTGATAAAGCCCAGACTCACCCATCTCCTGCTTCCTGCCTGCTGAAGTATGTGTGGAGGAACACCCTAGCCTGAACTTGGGTGTTCTGAGAGCATACTGGCAGATCCACCTGGGGACACATGTAGACCCCCAACATCCAAGTGATTACCGCAGGGACCTATGAGCAATGTAGCAGGCAGGCAGCCTCTACCTTACAGGGAGCCTGCTTCTGCCCAGTGCTACAAATGGGCTTCAGTCCTGACTGACTGTTTCATTCAATCCCACTTCAGAGGATTGGATTTCCTTCTAAACTGCTGTCAAGGAAAGGGGAAAAAGTTCAGCTCCTGGAATCTGCTGGAACCAGCTTCTAATATTGAGGCATGTAGCTTTGGTCCTAGAAAACTGACCTGAGGTCACACGGCCAGCCTGGGGAAGGAGGAGAGAGGATCATCTGGGGGCCAGCTCCAACTGCATGCCTGGACCCAGTAGGAGCATTTTTGGTGTAAACCTGTAAGTCTGCATAAGGTCACTGGGGGAGGTCTCTTGGACTCAGACACCCAGTTCCTCTGTACTTGCTCTGACACCTGAGATAAACAGCTTGCTTGATCTGTGCTGATATTTCTCACTTTGCTCAGAGGAAAGAAAGATATTTTTCCCCTTCAGAGAAGGGTAAGGAGAAGTAAATCTATCTCAAGGGGTGATTTAAAAATAGCAGTCTCTTTCCTCTTCTGTAATGATAACAATGATACATGTTCATTGTGGAAAGTCTGGAAAATGCAGAATGGTGTAACCAGGAAAATGAAAATGACTTATCTGCTCACAAAGCATTAACTTTTTGTACGCCAAGACCATAACCTTGTATCCCCCTCCAAGGCCATGTTCTTGGCAAATATGTGGGGTCATGATTGGATGGCAAATATGTGGGGTCATGATTGGATGGCTAATATTATTCCCACCCTTGTGTCTACACTTGAAGTCTTTAGCATAAACAGGAAATGAACGATGACCCAAGGCTAAATGGTGACCTCCAAGAAGTGGCCCTTACCCACTGTCCAGCAAAAGCCCCCTAACAATCTCACATAGTGCTGTCATACATTGGGCATTCCTCCAAAAGCCAGGTGCAGGTTCCCAAAGCCACTTGAATTTTAGGCGCTGGCAACACCACATCCACTGAGCTCATTAGCATATCTGAGGGAAGAGGGTCTGAATTCCTCCTTTGGGGAAGCTGAGTGGCCACCTGGTCCTATTTGGCAGGGTTGCTCTGATCCCACATCACCAGTTCCATGAGCCATCTCATCTGTCAAACACTTCCTGCTCACCAGCCAGTCCAGGGCAGAAAACACGGGGCTGGCACCAACCCTAAGGCTGAGGCAGCACAGGAGGACGCTTTCCTTTCTCTCCTCACTACCCGATTCCTGCCCAGCCCATTCTTTGTCTCTCTCCTTTCTCTGCTCCCCTTTTTCTTTTCTTCCTTCCATCTTTTTCTCCTTTTCATCACTTCCTTATTAGATCCCTTTTTAATACGGCAAGGTGAGCCTTTACCAGTGTCCATATATTCACTCACACTCAATAATCTCACATTGCAGCCTGGGACATCAAGACCTTCAAACAAAAATTTATATATTGTTTACAACCAAGAAAAGCTGGAAATAATGTGTTTGTCCAAAAAATTAGGAAACTGTGTAAGTATGCTTGGGTATTGATGTGATGTGATACTATTTTACCAATAGCTGGCCAATTGCAATGTTTGGATCTTCTTCAGATCCCAAAAGGAACAATCTATAAAGAACATTTATGAGATAATGGAAATCTGAACACTGACTGATATGAATGATTAAGAAACTACTATTTTTAGGTGTAATAATTGTATTGAAGTTATACCTAAAAATACAGTGCTATGTTTAGAGACAGAAAGTGAAATATTTACAGATTAAATTATGTGTGCCCGGGATCTGTTTGACAATAATCCTGGCGGATCGTGTTGCTGGCCAGTAGAGAGAAACAAGACTGGCTTTGAGTTTGACCTCTGCGGAAGTTGAGAGATAGGTATATGGAAGTAGGTTATACAGTTATAGATGATTGTAACTTTCCTCAATACAAGTTTTTAAAAGTAGTATTAAAATGTTAAGGGTAATCTTTATATTATAAAGAAAGATGGACTTAGAACTAATGAAATGAACCTAATACTATGGTTTGGATAAAGTTTGAGTTTGTCCCCTAAAGGCTTACGTTTAGAAGCTTGGTCCCCAGTGTGGCTGGACCCTTGAGTGACGGAGCCTTTAATTCCAACATTTGAAAGGCGGAGGCAGGAGGACCATGTTTGAGGTTAGCCTGAGCTACATACTGAAGCCCTGTCTTTCACACAAGAGTTGGTGATGTAGATCAGTGGTAGAGTACTTGCTTAGCATGTGCAAGGCTCTGAGTTTGATCTCTATCACAGAAAGAAAAATAAATAAATAAAAGGTACAGCTTCCTGGGAGATCATTACTGCTCCTCTCTAGAGCTGCTCTTTGGTTTCCTGCCTGGCCATGTGATCCTTCCTTCTCCCACACACTCCCACCATGAAGTGACAGCTAAGGGGGCTCCTGCCACTGTGCTGTTTAGAGGAGACTTTTAGCATCCACTGAGCTAAACAAAGCTCTTTTCCTTATAAGGACCCAGCCTCAGGTATGTACAGTAAAGACAAATGGACTAATACACATAAGAAAGGCCTGCCTAGCTGGAAAAGACAGCAAGATACCTGAGTTCAATTCCTAATGCGGCCTAAGAGGCCACACAAGCAGCCCAACCTCTGTGCTCCTGTGTGGGTGATGGTGGCCCTTTTTCCACCCCCTTGACCTCCAGTCAGGCACTGGCTTGTGACCACCCAGCAGACAGCAAACGCAATGAATCCTACAGGCTTATTTTCTCTTATTCTTGAATATATTAGTTCACAACTACAACTGTTGGGCATTTTTGTGGTAAGCCATTCTCTTTAAAAAAAAGTGATCTAGTTAGTGATTATGTGATAATGATTATGAATTTACTCCCTATAAGAAAAGGAACAAGGCAGCTGTCCTATTGTTATTGAGCATGCTGTGGCTGAGGACAAACTTTTCAATGTCACACAGACTGAAAAAGTGCTATGACTCCAACAAATATGGTGGTCTGTGAGGGAGATGATCAAAGACATCCCCTCATTGTGAACACCTGAAATGGTGAATAGTACTGAACCTATATAATTTAATGCCTTTTCCAACTTAAATAAGCATTTATTACATACTGTGGCTGAAACTTTTGCAGGTGCAACAGCAAAACTAATCATGAATTTCCTTTTCCTTTCTCATAACTGCATAGAAGATTTGATTTTACCTTTGATATTAGCAACCTTGTATATAATTTTTTCCCTTAATTAAGCCAAGAACTTGTACCTTTTCACTTTATGCCAGGTGTGTCAGCTAGGATGACTCCTATGCCAGCTAGGATGACTCCTGTAATCCTAGCTACTCTGGAAGCGGAGATTGGGAGAATCACAGTTCAAGGCCAGTCTGGGCAAAAAATTTGTGAGATCCCCATCTCCACCAGTAACAGTTGGGTGTGGTGGCATGTGCCTGTCATCCCAGCTACACAGGAAGCATAAATAGGAGGACTGAGGTCCAGACAATAAAAATAACCAAAGTAAAAAGGGCTGGGGGAGTGGCTTAAGTGGTAGGTTGCCTGCTGAGCAAGTACAAGGCCCTGAGTTCAACCCCAAGTTCTGCCCCTCCTCCCACCAAAAGAGGAATCACTTTATGACTTCTCTTATCCATTTCCAGCTTCACTGTACTTGAGCCTTGAAGTAAAATAGGGGTTACTTGAACACAAGTACTGTGATATTGTGACAGTTACCTGATAACTGAAATAGCTACAAAGTGACTAATGGGTGGGTAGTGCATATAGTGCGATACTCCAGACAAAAAGATGGTTCACATCACAGGCTGGGAGAAGTGGGATGACACAGATTTCATCACACTACTCCAAATGGTGCACAATTTAAAACTTACGAATTGTTTATTTCTGGATTTTCCATTTAATATTTTCAGACTACATTTTACTACAGGTAACCGAGATTGCAGGAAGTGAAACTGTGGATAAGAGGGCCCTACTATAGCTGGAAGCAGCTATAACAAACAGGCTTTCCTGGCTCAGACACTGGCCCTAAGACTGATGGAAACCCCAGGCCATGCATGATGAGTATGACTCAGGCTGTTCTGTGAAACTGGGGCATAGAGGACGAAATAGCAGCAGGAATACATAAATGCGCAGCCTGATATTTACTAAGATGTAGAATTTTTAAAAGTTTGTACATCTAAATTTGTAAATTTCTTAAGTAGACATGCATGATTATGTCACCTATATCCCTATAAAAGGTGACATATCCACACTGGCTAAAACATCACTGTAGATTTCCTCACTTAAGTGGGTCTTATCCTAGGGGTCCAGGACAGAGGGAGCCTCTCCTGCTCCCCTACTCCCCTCTCCGCCCTCCACCCTTACCTGAGGAACAGCTCTTCCAGATGGCTGTGTGGCTTTAGGAGTGAGGAGTCCAGGAAGCAGGGCAGGGGGTGACGCCTGGGCAGAAACACAGTCTCACCTGGATGCACTGGTGGGATGACCTGAAGGGACACTGAGAACCTCTCCACCAGCATCCTGGCAAGGCAAAGGGCAGAAGAGCTGGGGTTAGAGGCACACCTGGGTCTGCAGCTAAGAGTAAGGCCCAGGAAGGCCAGGTGGCCCTGGGTGCACCCTGCCCTACAGTGTCCCCTGGCGGCCAGGGGGTGACAGTGCCACCTGCTGATGGAAGAAGAGCCAGCAGCTGAGGAAGGATTCCTTTCTGGCTAAAATGCCCAAATTCCTCCCTCAGGGCATGGTTCAGGGTCAGGAGACAAGGTCCCAGCACCAGCCCCACCCATTAGCTCTGTTCAGGTCAAGCTTTCACTGCACGTTTTCGATGTCAGGTGTTAAAGGATGAGTCAGGCACGGACCACCCAGGAAAAGTGTAAACAAATGATCATAGTAACCTCTGGCCATGGGACTGACCCACTGATACAGCCTAGAAGCAGTAGAGGGAAGATGGGCTTGGTGCAGCTAGGGCCAGGGGAATTGTCCTGGGATGGGTGAGGAGGTGCTGGGTGAGGGGGTAGCACAGGTATAGGTGGTAGCACAAGATAGCAGGAGGGTCTCCCTGCCAACTGTAGGAGCTGGATATTCCCTCCTGCCAGCAGATGTTAACTCCAGACCACCCAGGGAGCCTGCTAAAGGCAGACCTGGCCCACATGCCTGGGAGTCTGATTTAGCAGATCTGAGCTGGGCACACACACAGGGAAGGAACAGGAAGAAAAGGGAATTCTTTCCAACTATAACATGACCCCTGAAGTAAGGATAGGGAAAGGAATGCAGTTAAAATGAATCCTGAGAATAAGGTAAATCTCTACACAGTGGACTGGAATGGACACCTGACTACAGTACACTGATGGGTGAAAACAGAAAGATGCAGAATAGGATATATCTGCATGTATACAGTCACTCCCCCTAGGGGATATATTCCAAGCCCCTCAGTGGATACCTGACAGATAGTACTGAACTCCATAATACAATGTTCTTTCCATAACTAGACACTTAACTATACACACACTGTGGCTGTAACTTTGCAGATTGAGGTGCAAAAATAAAACTAGCAGAAATTTCTTTTTACTTCTTTACAATTCCACAGACAGAAGATTCATTCTTTTCTAGATCTTGACAAACCAAGCATACAATTTTTTCTTTCTTTAAATTGAGAATGTTCACCTTTCCATGTAAAAGGAAACATTTTACAGTTTATCTTTGGCATATCTGAATTTCCTGTATCAGTACTCTCTGTGCTATTATTAAGTAAAATATGTGTTGCTTGAACACAAACACTGATACCATGATAGCCAATCTGTTAACTCAGATGGCTGTTAAGTTACGAACAGATGAGAGTGCATACAGCGTGGATGCATTGAACAAAGGGATGATTCATATCCCAGGCAAGATGAAGCTACACTTGTAGGAATCCATCACACTACTTGGAATGGCATGCAACTCAAAGCTTACGAATTTTTTTTTTTGAACTTTCCATTTAATATCTTCAGACAGCAGTTGACTATGGGTAACTGAAACAGTAGAAAATAAAACCACGGGTAAAGGGGGACTACTTTGTCCCTATGCACTCACATAAACATACTAAGACACAAGAACCGTTGCACATGTGATATACCCAATTATCATCTAGAGTCATCCCTAGGACACAGAATTAGGGGGAGAGATGAAGAGTAGACATTTCCTATTTGCTTTTTATAACTATGTTCTGATTGATGTTGTAGCAATGAAACATATTTTCAACAATAACAACAAAATAAACAAGCTACAGGTACTGCCTCTCCTCCTCTCACCAGAAGATGACCCATACCCAGGTTCCTACCCTGGCCCACTGTCTGAGACAGCAAACTCAGGGGAGGAATAGCTTGAGAGCCCATCAGGATCTGGGACATGAGCAGCTGGCACTGGCGCTGGCACTGGAGCAGCACTGCCTACAGCCCACTGGCTGGTTTGTCACATGAACCTGTCTTACTTTCTGGCCAAATGACCCATGGTAAGACCCCACCCACATCACAGAGCTCTTCTAAGAATAAAATGATACAACAAATGGTAATAATGATGAAAAGCGAGGAAGACTGTGATCCTGCAGGTTTCTGGGAACAGTCTTAGCAAACTACCACACAGATGGTAAAATATTTTCTGTTTTGTTCATGTCTTTGCCATTAGAGCTTTATATCTACTTCTTTTGTGGCTTTTCTTTTTTTCCTACAGCTTCTTTTGTGGCTTTTACAGTTAGATAAAAATGGACAAATTATGGGCTGGCAGAATGGCTCAAGCAATAGAGCGCTTGCCTAACAAGCATGAAGCCCTAAGTTCAAGACCCAAAACTACACACAAAAAAGTGCAATTTATTAGAGGTCTATAAGAACTAGGCTTATCTGTACAGGAGTCCTATCCCTGTCCCCCAAACCATCATTCAAAGAGACTTTTGTGATGTTAACTGTAATGTATGTACATTATTAGGAGTTCTGAGACACTCTCACATGTCTAATTGAGGATTTCCTGTGCAGCCAAGAGCTGAGAATAAAGGACAATGTTGTGGATTAAATATCTGTCTCTCCCTGCCCCTCCCTGCCCCCACCTCGGCACACACATAGGTCTTTTAACTTTAAGAAAGAGAGAATTTAGGATGTCATTCCTTCAAGATGCAAGTAAATTCTTTGGGCATGAGCAGACACTCAGCTCAGGATGATCAGGGTCCTTTCTATGACAGGCACTTGTGGTGACTGTATGACGTATTGTCTGGCTAGGGTGCCTAGCCCCCATCCTCAGCCCCACCTCCTCCAGACCCACACTGCCTTCTCCCAGCCCCATTCATACATGGAATAGGTTGTTAGCTTTGTACCTCAGTGAGTCATTTTCATTTTTTTTAAAGACACGAGGTTGAACAATTCCATTAAAATGATCTCACATCAAAACAACCACCTCAAAGTGGCTGTTCTCAAAGAAGCTTTCTCTAAACACCACTGGAAAATGTCATGTGCCCAGAAAATGAGCAGTGATTTCAAAGCCAGGAACATCTTCTCTTGTAAGCCAGCTGCACAGATAGATAACTCCCTTTCTGTGTGGACTTCTGTAATCTCCACGCCATGATTTCAAAATCCTGACTATATTGGTAGAAAAGTCAAGAGTGACAAGAATTATTCTTGCTACAGAATTTTACAAAAATTTTAAGAGGTTTCATCATAAGTCTATCTCTTCAGTTAGTGAAGAATCCTGAAGCCAAATCCATGCATCTCAGCTCAGAGAAGATGACTTTCATTCCATCTAACATCACCAAGGCATTCTCAATACACTGATGCAATTCAGTCTTCAGTGCTCTGTCACATCCATCCAGATGCCTCCTGAGGCATCAGAGACGATCCAGCAACTGCCATTTAGGGATCTGAAGTGCAACTTCACACCAATCCCTCCCTGGGTCCTTGGGCAGTGTACAGGTAGCCTACCTGGAAGGGCTGTTCTAATCCCAACAGGTTCCCAGACTCCTGAACCTGAGGGGAAACCTGAAGAAACCCCATAGCTTCATTTACTTTTAGTAACTTGCTTTCTCCATCAATTTCAGAGATCAAGGAGCAACTTACCCACATTAGCTTTGCTACCACTCACTTTTCCCCTGCCTCAGACCACCCTACTTTTTTTAATCCCACAAATACCTCAAAACTCTATCCTTGGGGATGCCGATTTAAGAGTTGGGGCTCCCACCTCCTCATATCTGACCACCTCATGAATAAATTCTCTCTCTTTTGCAAAGCTCATTGCTTCAGTGGTTGGAATTATTGCATGGTGGGCAAAATGGGCCATGCTTGTAACAAAGATTGGCACCAGTCAGGAGGTAAACTACAGCCTACAGTCCAGGCCCTGTCTGGCGCTCATTTCCACAGCCAGGCTCATTCACTGACCTCTCATCTATGGAAGCTCTCATGAGGCCAATTGCTGTGACAGAGGTTGACCAGCTCCAAGCCTAAAGCATTTACTATCTATTTACAAACTATAGAAAAAGTTTGCTGATCCCTATCTAGTTCAGAGTGATCAGCAGAAAAACTGGAGAATAAGGCAAAGGGCCAGTCATGGTGTTGCTTTTTATCACCTCTGGACAACTGAAATGGTATGAATAATTTGGGAATCCTAAAAGCAGAGCTCCAAGTCTGTCTGTTATACTTGGCAACCCCCTAGGAAGTAGATGCAAATGTTGACTTAGAACATGTGTTGAAGCTTCACCAATCACTGCCTGAACTGGTGCTAAATCACACATTTAGATTTATGGGGAGCCAAGCCTGGAAGGTGGACCAGTACCTGAGGCCACCACCCTTCCTGTAGCCCACTCCAGCCCCTACTAGTCACAGGTTCCTGAAGATCCCCCTCGACCCCTAACACAGTTGTCTCCTCTCCTGTGGCATTCGCATTAGCATATAAACATGCTGTTATTTTCTCCATAAAAGAGAAACAGAAAGACAGAAAGAAACCAACAACTAACCAACCAACCAACCCACCAAACAATCCTGACCCCACTTCCCTCTTTAGCTACTGTCCATCTTTGTCTTTCTCCTCTCCACTCCATTTGCCAAGAATCTATTCCAATCAGGCTTGTCCTCAGCAGTCCACCAGAGCTGCTCTTGATCATGGTCACCATGACCACTACATTGCTAAATGCAATGGTCATTTCCCAATCATACTATTCTCCACCCATTAGCTAGCCAGAGCTTCAGCATCTAGCCTTCCTTCAACCTTCTCAGTCTCCCTTTCTGCTTCCTCTTCATAGCTGCCAAAAGGTATGGGCCCTGCTCACTCTTGGGCCTGGGCTCTTCTCCCTCTATACTTTCTCCTCAGACCACCCTATATTGTTTCAAGGCTTTAAACATCATCTATACAATTGCTCTCACACTCACCTCTCAAGCCACCTACCTGATCTCACCCCTCAGATTTTCCCCAAATGAGTTCTTGATTACGCACCACCTTCTAACCTATCCTGTGGCTACTCAGTCTTTCTTCATTTAATTAAAGACACCTCCAACTTTCTAGCTGTTCAGGCCCAAGCCCCTGGGGTAGCCCCCCCTTTAAGCTCCTCTTTCTTCTATACCTTCCATCCAGTTTGTTAGCAAATTCTGTAAGTTCTACTCTAAAATATATTCAGACATTGCCTGTTTTGCCCCATCTACCATGAACCCTGGGCATCATCGTTTTTCCTAAATTACTGTCAGGGCCCACTCTGATATTTTTTGACTTTTGTCTATGATTTCTGGTTCGTGACTTCCTTTCCAAGGCAGGCCATGAAAACCAGAATTTCTCTTCCCCAAAGCATCCCCAAAGATCACAGAAATTCTAATCTTCCCCTTCCTCTAGTTGGCCATAAAGAATGATCTCACTATCTTGTCTGATAGTAGGTCATGAGATCCTCCTCATTTTAGAGGAATCCTGCCCCATGCCTGGGAGGAAGGAATGATGCAGAGTGGTCAAGAAGAACTTGAATAGATAGGCCTGGCTGGGTTTCCCAACCAGTCTTTTAGCAGTTATGCCTATGCAGTGAAGTCTCCAGAAAAACCCAAAAGGACAGACTTTAGAGAACTTCTGGATAGTGGAGGTTCTTGGAGGGTGACATGTCCAGAGACAGCAAAGAAGCTCTGTGCCCCTTTCCCATACCTCACCCTGTGCATCTCTTCATCTGTATACTTTTTTACATTCTTTAAAATAAACAGGTATGTGTTTCCCTGAGTCCTATGAGCTGCGCTAGCATAAATTAATCAAACCCGAGAAGGGGCTGTATGAATCTTGACTTATAGCTTGTTAGTCAGAAGGACAAGTAAAACAAATTGAGCTCATGACTGGATCTAAAGTAGGTGGAAGTTTGGGGACAGACTCCCCAGCTTGTGGGATCTGATGATATCTCCAGGTAGACTGTCAGAACTAAATTGAATTAGAGGACACATGCCTGGGGTCTGCTATAGAATTGCTTGTTTACTGGTGGGGAGAAATCCCCTTGAAGATTTAACAGAAGTCTTCTGTGATTGTCCTGTGAAACTAGAGGGAAAGTAAGACGTTTTATTTTACATATTTATTTTTGGCAGTACTGGGGTTTGAACTTGGGACCTCATGCTTGTTAGGTAAGCATGCTACCATTTGAGCCATGCCTCCAGGGCCCTTTTTGCTCTGGTTATTTTTGAGGTAGGGTCTTGTATTTTTGCCCAGGCTGGCCTGGACCATGAGTTTATGCTTCCTGTGTATGTGGGGTGACAGGTACGTGCCACTACACCCAGCTTTTTTTGTTGAGGTGAAGTCTTGCTAACTTTTTTTGCCTGGATTGGCCTTGGACCTGGATCTTCCTGTCTTCTGAGTAGTTAGGATTACAGTAGTCACTGTACCCAGCCTCAAGATATTTTATTTTTATCAGGACATCTCTACCCCATGCCTCCTTTGGCCCTCACCAGTCCACCACCACACAGTAGTCAGAGGATGCCATCAGATGTGGGTCAGATCAACAGCTCATTCAGAAGAAAAGTTCTGAGACCTGGCACCCACCTTTAGCCTGATTCCACATGACCCTTCTTCACTGCTCCTCAACACACCAAGTGTGCTCCCATTGCAGGCCCCCAGAACTGGCTCTCACTTCCTTTGGTGATCTGCTTAAAGGTCATCTTCTCACAGAGAACTTCCTTGAGCCCTCATTGAAAGTCTCACACCCTTTGTAGCGTTCCTTATGCTCCCTGCAGACTTTGTCCTTTCTCATAAGCACTTGTCACATTATTTCATTTATCTTGTTTATTGTTCCATCTCTCTGATTTGAAAGCAAGCAACATGAGGGCACAGAGCTTGGCATAAGTTGACATTCAATATAGTTTTTTTGGTGCTACTGGATTTTGAACCTAGGGCTTCAAGCTTACTAAGCAGGCACTCTACCACTTGAGCCATTTCAACAGCACTTTTTTTGTGTTGGGTATTTTCGAGATAAGGTCTCGAGAACTATTTTCCCAGGCTGGCTTTGAACTTTGATCCTCCTGATCTCTGCATCCTTAGTTAGGATTACAGGTGTGAGACACTGGGTGCCCATTGACACGCAACAAACTTCTGATGAATAGATGATAAATGAAAAGATGGACAAATGGATGGTTGGATGGATGGCATTTCGTATACTGAATGTCTGTGTCCCTCCAAAATTTATATGTTGAATCCTAGTTCCCAAGGTGATGGTGTTAGGACATTGGGCCTTTGGGAAGTTGGAGCCCTCATGAATGGAATTAGTGTCATTATACGTGAGATCCTGTTGCGGTCTCTAGCCTTTCTGCCCCATGAGGGAACACAAGACGTCAGCTGTCTGCAGTCTGGGAGAGGACCTCCTCAGAACCTAGCCATGCTGGCACCTCAACCTCAGACCTCCAGCCTCTGGAACTATGAGAAACAGATTTCTGATGTTTATAAGCCACCTAGTACAGCTTGGTCAGAGCAGTCCAAAAGGACCAGGACAGATGGCAAACAGTGTACTCTGGGCTGGGAGTGTGGCTTAAGTTGTAGAGCACCTGCCTAGCAAGCACAAAATGCTGAACTCAAACCCCAGTACAAAAAAATTTATTTTCACTAAAAAAAGAAAATAGTGTACCCTAAAGATGGATTCAGTTGTGGTTCTCAGGAGTCTCTGAGACCCTGTGGTACAAATGAATACAGCCCTCCCTCTAGCCAATAGCTCAATTATATCAGAGTCAATGGGGCCCCAACCCAGACAACCACACTGACAGCCATCTTCCTCCCTCGCCCCCACCAGACAAGGGAAGATAAAAAAAATCTCCTGTGGCTATAATCTCCCCTCAAAAGACAACTTTCAGTTAGACTGTGGTTTTGTTTTGTTTTTTTCACGTCAGAAGGGTAATGTGCCCAAGTCGTAATAAGGTTTAAGGGCGGCACATATCACGCAGAGGCGTGAACACCCAATCATCATGTTTATGAACCAAAAAAGGATTGTAGACTGTGGTTTTATGTAGCTATTTTCCCAAGACATCTGGTTCTACGAACTTGGGCAGATAATTGGGCCATTTCATGATTTCTGTGTCTTCAAAGGCCATACTAGACCCTGATGCCCAGCTTTGATCCAGTATTTCTTGAATCAATTAGTAACTATAGTGCTATAAGAGAAAGAGACAACTTTAGAAGTCCTGAGTGGTGTAAATGTTGTTGGCTGAAACAGTGACTGTATGAATGAGAGGTCTGTCCCTCACCTGTGCTCAGGTGTAAGCAGCACTTCGTCTTCCTCTCGATCCAAGGAATCAAGATCAGGACGGTCCTGCAGCAGCAATTTCTCCCATTCCTGCTCCAGGGCCTGCTCCCTGTGCAGAGAAGAGAGCCAGAACCAGGGGTCAACCAAGCTGCAGGGATCCTCATGGACACAGAAAGCCTACAAAGCAGAAAGCTTTCCAGAACTATCAGGTTTAGATTTCTGGGGAACAGGGAGAGAATTGTATTACCTAAACTGTCCCCAATCAGCAGAGATAAGCAGATAGGCCTGAAGGAAGCGGTTTTCACCACAGAACTTCAAGTATGCCTTTATCTGTATAACTGTTCTTTTGGCACTCACTCATTCTTTAACATATCCAGGTCTGGACCTGGGGCCCTTCTGCTCCCCCAGGGCCCAGCCACACAAGGAGAGTCCCTTGTTCTTGGCTCCTAGGTATCCCTACTCACTACCTGACTCTCTAACCACAAAATGCCAGAGCTCTCCTGCCTCTGCTCATTCCCTTTTCCTCCCTTTCCTTCACCCTTTGTCCTGCACTGGCTTGGAACCCTTCATTTACTTCTATCTGCCCCTGAGCACCTCACTTCCTTTTCAACTAGCCCCACCATTATCTTGTTGAGGGTCCTGACTCCCTGGTATGGTGCGCAAATGGCTTGTCCCACTAAATTCATGTTGAAATACAACTGCCAGTGTAATGTTACTGAGAGGTGAGGGACCTTTAAGAGGTGTTGGGTCATGGGGTGGAATCTTCATAAATAAGTTAATGCTTTTCTTAGCTATTACAGGAATTCTGCCCCCTTTTCTCTTCTGCATACCCTTCTACCTTTCTGCCATGCATGGAGCAGCATAAGGCTCTCACTAGAAGCTGAACAGATGACAGCACTATGATCTTGGACTTCCAGAACTGTGAGCCAAATAGCTTCTTTTCTTTTCAAACCAACTAGTCTCAGGTAATCTGTTACAGCAACAGAAGATGGACTAAAACATTCCTTCACCTCCTTCTGCTATAACAACCCTGCACTCTCTAAGTGGGCACCAAACCATTCTGCAGCCTTCTCTGTCTCTTGTTCCCATGGGCTGTTGAGGGCTCTCCAGCCCCTGTATGGCTCCTCCAGGTGGTCTCTATGGCTGTGCTCACAGGCTCTTAGTTTTGAAATATTCTATCTCTAGCTCAGGCTTCTGTCTTGCACTCAGATTCTATTGGCCACTAACTGGATGATTTCCAGTTCAATGTGACCCGGCTCATCCAATGCCACATGTCCAATTCTTCATTCCTCTTTCTCAAACAGCCCAGCATCCCAGCCCGTCAGAGCCCTACCACTCACCTCCCAGGGGCCTTCCACATATGAGCCCTGCCCCAGATCCCACCTCAGCCCCTCAACCTTGTTTCTTTCTTGCTCATCCTACCTGAAAGGCAGCCTGAATTCTTTTTCTTTTTCTTTCTTTTGGCAGTACTGGGGTTTGAATTCAGGGTGTCATACTTATTAGGCAGATGCTGTACAACTTGAGCTACTCCACCAGCCCTGTCTTATGTTGAGAATTTTTGAGATAAGGTGTTGAGAACTATTTGCCCTGGCTAGCCTCAAACCTCAATGCTCTTGATTTCTGCCTCCTAAGTAGCTAGAATTACAGACATGAGCCACTGGCACCCTGCCTGAGTGATCTTTTATAAACATGTAGAAAAACACCTCTGCCTACTTAAAATTCTTCTATGATTTGACCTGCGTTAATGAGGCCCCTCAACAAGCAACCCCCTTGTCATATCTTGGCTGAATCTGCTACCTCATCCCTCCCACCCCTTAGCACTCAGAATTCCTGTCCTGGTTAACCAGGAAGAGCTTGGCCCTGTCCTATCTGACTTTACATGGTGGTCATCCCTCCCCCTCCAAAAAACAAACAAACAAATAAAACCTTCTAATCCTGCAAGGCTCAAGGACAAGGACAAGGACAACTCCGAGGATCCTTTTCTGATCCAGCATAAGTAAGATGCCACTATTCTAGGCCCTTCTATGGCAACTTTTCAGCATGGAAAATACTAGATTCATTCTGTTACAAATTTCCAGCTGAGTAGGGCAGCTCATCGGGTCTCTGCATCCACTGCCCTGTGCTATGGACTGAATATGTGTGTTCCTCCCAAATTTATATGCTGAGACCCTAACCCCCTAGTGTGGCCATATTTGGGGTAGGAAAGTGTCAGGGTGAGGCCCTGATACAATAGGATTGTTGTCCTTATAGGGAAAGACCCCACGTGTGCACACAGCAAGATGGCCATCTATAAGTCGGGAGGATAGTCCTCACTAGAAACCGAATTAACTAGCATCTTGATCTTAAGACTTCTAGCCTCTGGAATAGTGAGAAATAACATCAATTGTTTAAGCTCCCAGTCTGTTTTTTTTTTTGTTGTTGTTATAGCAGCCTGAGTTGACTAAGACAGCAAGAACTTCCCAATATTAGGCACGCTGATGGTCAGGGATGGTGTTTTCCCACAAGCATTTGCTTTCCTGCCACCATTTTCAAGCACCTATTAAATTTATAGCACGGTCCTTTCCCTGATTTACAATCTAGTCTCAGGTGAAGGAAGTTAAACAACAAAAGCCAAAGAAGCTGTATGGAGGAGGGAGATTCTGGGGTGGGCAGAGAGCCAGGAATGGACAAAGGCAGAGAAAACAGAAATCCATTCCACATATATGTCTAACGCCCCCTGTGGGCAAGAACGCAGGGTTGGGAACTCTGGGAGTGAGGCATGATTCTCTCAACAGGAACAGAGAGGCAAGAACACTAGTGCTCAACAGTTTCACAACTCACCTACACTTAATGTCTGAAAACGTAACCTACAATTCACTGAGCAAACTCAACACCAAACAACAGAAGGAGAGGGGACGGGGAGAACCGGTCGCATGAGCAATCTGCTGTCATGCTGTCAAAGAGCAGGCCAGTGAAGACGATCCCAACAGGAGCAGCTGTTCCCGGCTACCTCACAGCATGAGCAATCTACTATGGACAGCAGGAGCTGAGCATTTCCACCCAGAAGGGCCCCTCAAGTGCAAGTCAACCTCCTCACCAAGCATCCACCCCAACAGAGTGTGATAGGTACTGGCCTCTGACACCATCACACCTACCTAAGGGATTTCTGATCCAGAGCAACATGATTTTTGTCTTCAGAAACTGCTGAGGGGAAAGCTAGCAAGACGTCAGTTGGGAAACTAATGTCTCTATGAGATATGGCTCATAGACCATATCTATGTGAGACCAAGGAGAAGGCAGGTCTAAGATTACAGTGGGAAAGGGAGCTGGAGACTGTGCTTCAGTGCTAGAGCACGGGTACTACCAGAAGTTCCCATCTGCCCAGTATGGCTCTCAAGGCCACAGTCAGGCTCAGTGTCACAGCTGTCTGCTTTTTCACTTCTCTCTAGCACAATACCCTCAAAGTAGCATGAACTGAATGGAAGGGAGCCAAGGCAGGGGATCTGGAACAAGGGCTTTGCCTGCAGTGGTGGTCTGAGAACCCTCTGCCTTGGAAATGCTATCTTGGACCTGGCCACCATTCCACATACTCGCAATTAACCAGAGCACACAGGTGAGCAATGGCTGGGTGGGGAATGCTGCTTCACTTGGACAGGAATTTGCTCTGGAGTCCTAAAATTGCTGCCAACCTCACAGAAATGAGTACCCTCAATGCGCCCTCTCCCACACTCACCTCTTCTCCTGCAGTAAGTAATCTAAGCTGTTGACATAGCACTCTGAGCCCCGAGAGGTGAGCTGGAGAGACAGGACACGGGAATAGGGAGAAAGACAAAGATAGGGAGTGGGAAATTAAATCTAAATTAAATCCTTAATTTATTGCTTACTTTTCTGAACAGATAATACATTCACACAATTAAAAAACCAAAAAGTATGAGAGTGTTCCCTCCCTCACCTCCATCCCAGATGGGGATAAATGAGAAGGAGCAACTGAAAAGGGGTAGCCAAGAAAAGGCCAGAGTGGCCTCTGGCTTACCGAGGCATGGATGTCCACTTCTGGGGTCATGGTCTGCTGGCTTGTGCCTGGCATGTTCCAGAACAGCTCCTCCAATGAGGCCAGCCCCTCTTTTGTGTCCAAGTCCAGTGGTTCCAGTTCCAACTTCTTGGGCATTCTCCTTGGGCCCTGAGGGCTCTCTGCACCTACCTGGTGGTACTGCTGTACCTTTGGGTTTAGGAACTCTACAGGTGGTGGGCTCCAGTCAGTGGGGAAAATGTCCCCAGGCGTCTGCATCTTGGGCTTCTTAGGTGATTTGGGAGTTGGAACCAAGGTGGGGCTGCAGAGATGCTGGTCAGGGCAGAGAAGCCCCTGGTGCAAGGGATGGGCCAAGAAGCTGCCTTTCAGGCTGGGCAAGAGGATGGGCATAGGGGTGGCTGTGTGGACTCCTGTGGACAGGATAGAGTACTGTGGGTGTCCTCATCAACCCACCACTGTCCCAGACCCCAAACTATGCTGGGTGAGGAAAAGGACCACTTGGGAAGGCTACGGGCAGGATATAAGGCAAATCATTCAACCAGGGGATTTCCATTCCTCTTGCCCTCAACAGTATTCTACGTGTATGGGTAAGTGATACTTACCTTCTCTCCGAGCAAGGGCTACTGCAGTCTTCTGGGGTGTGGACATCTGCACACCATGGGATGCTCTGTCAAGGAAGGAACTCCCTATCAGGACAGGGAACCTCCCGAAGAAAGTTAAAGGCACTTCATTCCTGTTTCCCAGAAAGGGGGGCCTAACTACTGGTGCCCAGGAGGGATTCCTTCTCCTGGAATCCTCCTTCTCCAGGTCCACCACAAGGAGTGAGCATCGTGGCACCACCAAAGTCAGATGGCTGAGGTGATGGAGGTGCCACCCGACTTATTTCAAGGACATAATGGGCAAGCAGAAGGACACTGACATTTAAAAAAAAAACCTGTATGAAATTAAAACCAGCAAAGCTCAAAAGGAAGCTGTGTTCTGAGATGATGTCCCCCACTTCTCATTGCTTGGTATCACCTTGTTAGGCCATTTGTTTAAAAGTGGTGGGGCAAGGCTGTCTGGTCTTCATCATTTCCTGAGCACCATCCATGACCTGGCACATGACAAGGATCTGTGCATTTCTACTGAATGAATGAGTGTTTTAAAGGGACCCTGAGACTGCCCAGGACAGACCATGCCACATAGTCAGGTATTTCCATCATCTGAGTCCTAGGCTCAGAGGAATTGCAGATGAAAGCCTAATATGCAACAAGAGTCTATAGCCTAAAGATTAAAGGAAATGATAGTTTACAAGAGAGAAATGCTAATTTGACAAGGGTTCAAACACAACAATAGTGAAAGGAATTCAAATCAATATGACTATGATATACTATTAAAAAATAACTAATCAAAAATTTAAAATGTATTAAAACAAATGTTGACATGGTTGTTTTAGAGGCCAATCTATCAATATGAAAATAACTGCAAAAATGTCTATACACAAGAATGACATTAACAAAAATGGTGGAAAAAAATCTGTGTTTCCATAAATATAAGAATTAAACTGGTGCGGGGTATAATGGAGCACATCTGTAATCCCAGCTACTGAAGAGGTAGAGGCAGAGAATCCCAAGTTCAAGGTCAGCCCTGAGAAAGTTATTGAGACCTTATCTCAAAAACAAAATGAAAACAAAAGGGCAGGGGGTATGGGTCAAGTGGTAGAGCGCTTGCCTAGTATGCAGGAGGTCCTGGGTTCAATCCCTAGTACTGAAAAAAAAGAAAAAAGGCTGGTACAACTGTCAGAACCAACAGTTAGGGAACTCTGGACTCTAAATAATAATAATAATTAAAAAAAAAACCTAACAGCAATTGGGCGTGGTGGTATGGTGCATGCCTGTAGTCCCCGCTACTTGGGAGGCTGAGATAAGAGGATCACTTGAGTCCAGGAGTTCAGAGCCAGCCTGGGCAACATAGTGAGACTGTCTCAAACAACAACAACAACAAAAAAAACCAACCAAACAACAAAACAATAAGGAGGAAAGTGCTTAACGAAGAAAACGTTGCTAAATTTCAGTAAGATGTGTTCTAGTTTTTTAACTTGCTGCCTATCATCCCTTACTCTCAATAACAGGTACTGTATGCTGGTGCTACAGGTGGCAATATCAACTTTGTTTTCAAAGGATTGTGGCTGAGTTTTGTTTTGTTTTTGTGGTACTAGAGATGGAACCCAGTGCTTCATGCCCATGTGCTCCACCAATGAGCTACATTCATAGCCCTTGGTCATGTTTTGGCCTGCCTGGTGGCTCCCTGAGATATTTACTCAGGTCTTGTCTTTATTTTGCTGCCACTCCCCTCCAAACTTTCCCAGGGCCACTTTTGTCAAAAGCTTTTAATGGCAAATATATTAGCTATTGCTACCTGGCACAAGAGGTAACAGATGAGCAGGAAGCTTGAAAAGAGGCTAGGGAAGGAGAAACATGGAAGAATAAAGGCTATGGAAGCTCCCACCTAAACTAGAGAATCCAGAAGGCATATGCCCAGAGATAGACACATGCTAAGCAAAGACCTGAGAAGACCCTAAGCTTTCACCTCTGGCTGATCTTTTGGTGTCACATAATCAGGAAGAGAAGGCTAGGCAGTATTGTGCTGACTATGGCCAGCACAGAGCCAATCTGCAAAGACCAGGAGATTTTTCTTTCTTTTATTTTTTCTTCTGCTATTGGGGATTGAGCCCAGGGCCTCATACATGCAAGACAAGACTCTACCACTTGAGCTAAACCCCAGCCCTTTTGTTTGTACTTTTGTTTTTGAGATAGTACTAGACTAGACTCAAACCCACGATCCTCCTGCCTCTGCCACCTAAAGATGGTTTTCATTTTTTTCCTTTCGACTCTAGGTGTTTAAAGAAATCTCTATCAAATTACCAGATGACTACAAAGCTAAAGGAACAGAGGCCAGTGATCACATTCAATGAAATAACAGTCTTTACAAAAATATTTTAGAAAAGTTATTGAACAATTACAAGCCACAATAAGTAGCAACAATAAATTGTGGGGAGGGAGAAGAATCTGACTTCTAGAGTTACTGCATTCAAAACATCCAGTTTTAAATATAAAATTATAAAGCATGAAAAGAAACAAGAGAGTATGACCCACTCACAGAGAAAGAAAGGGGGAGGAGGGAAACTGACAAACTATCACAGGAGAAGCCCAGACATTGGACCTACTGAACAAAAACCTTTAAATCAACTGTCTAAAATACGCTCAAAGAGTTAAAGGAAACTACAACATAGAACTAAGAGATACCAAGAGAATCCTCTCTCACCAAGCACAGAATATCAATGAAAAAACTCAGCAGAAGGTCTCAGTACCAGATCTGAGCAGGCAGATAAAAGACTCCGTGAACTTTTAGATAAGTCAGTTGAGATTAACCAGTTTGGGGAATAAAACAAAAAAGAACGATGAAAATGAAATGACCCAAGCATTGTATGCACATATGAAAAAAAAAAAGAATGATGAAAATGAATAGAGCCCCAGAGACCAATGGTGTACCATCAAGTCTATTAATATATATAATTAGAGTCCCAGAAGGAAAGAAAAGAGAGATAAGGAGGCAGAAAAAATGTTTAAAGAAACAAGGCTGGGCTTATGTCTATAATCCTAGCTACTCTGGAGGTGGTGATTGGAAGAATTCCAGTTTGAGATAAGTCAGACAAAAAGTTCTTAAGACCCCATCTCAACAAATGGCTGGGCACAGTGGCATGCGCCTGTCAACCTAGCTACTCACAGAAGCACAAATAGGAGGATCATGATCCAGGCCAGCTGGGCATAAAGGAAGACTCTATCTTAAAAATAACCAACACAAAAAAAGGCTGGCAGAGTGGTTCAAGTGGTAGTGTGCCTGCCTGGTAAGAGTGAGGCCCTGAGCTTAACCTGTAGTACTGCCAAAAAAAGTTAATAAAATAAAAATAATGGCCAAGACTTGCCAGTATTTGATGAAAATATTAATTTGTACTTTGAGGAAACTCAACGAACTCTAAGTAGGATAAACTCTGGGAGATCCATGACTAAATACATCATAATCAAACTGTTAAGAGATAAAGAATCTTTTTTTTTTTTTTTGGTGTTATTGGGGGTTTGAACTCAGAGTATTGTGCTTGCTAGGCAAGTGCTCTACCCCTTGAGTCACAACCCTAGGCCTTTTTGCTTCAGGTTTTTTTTTTTTTAGGATAGGGGCTGTGCTTTTGCCTGGGAAGGCCTAAGGCCATATTTCTGCCTCCCATGTAGCTGAGACTGCAGGTGTGTTCCACCACACCTGGCCCCAAGACAGAAAATCTTAAAAGTAAGAAGAGAGAAGGGAATCATTACATACAACAGAGTCCCCAAAAGATTAACAGCCAGATTCTTATTAGAAACTAAGAAGGGCAGAATGCAATGGATGAAATAGTCAGAGTGCTAAAAGAAAAACAGTGGCAACCAAGAAGACTACATCCAACAAAAATACCCTCCAAAAAAGAAGAAATTAAGATATTCTCAGATAGCTGGGCATGGGTGGCTCACACCTTTAATTCTAGTTACTCAGGAGGCAGAGATCAGGAGGAATGCAGTTCAAAACCAGCCCAGGAAAATTGTTTGAGAGACCTGGTCTCAAAAATACTCAACACAAAAAAGGGCTAATAGAATGGCTCAAGTAGTCGAGTACCTGCCAAGCAAGTGTGAGGCTCTGAATTCAAACTCCAGTGCTACCAAAAAAAAAAAAAAGATATTCTCAGATAAGTAAAAACTGAGAAAATTTATTGCTAGCAAACATGTCTTACCAGATATACTAAAGTAAGTCCCTTACACTGAAATGAAAGGACAATAGAGAGTAACTTCAGTCCACATGAAAAAACAAGTTACCAATAAAGATAACCATATAGATGAATATAAGATAGCATCAATGCATTTTATAACCTCTTTTTCTCCTATCTGATTTAAAAGACAATTGTATAATGCAGTATTTAGAAATCTTCTTTGACTAATACACAATATATAATGGTATAATTTATATGACAATAACAGCACAAAGGAGGAGGAGGGAACAGAGGTATAGGTACAAATACTACTGAAATTAAGTTAGCATGAGTGTGTGTGTGTGTGTGTGTGTGTGTGTGTGTGTGTGTGTGTGTTAGGACTGGGGGTTTGAACCCAGGGCTTTATGCTTCAAAGCAGGCACTCTACCTCTTGAGCCACACCTCCAGTCCATTTAGCTCTGGTTATTTTGGAGATAGGGTCTCACAAACTATATGCCTGGGCTGGCTTCAAACAGTGATTCTCTCGATCTCAGCCTTCCCAGTAGCTAGCCATCAGCTAGCTACTGGCCGCCAGCATCTGGCAACTTAGCATTTAAAAAAAAAAGATGGGAAGGAAGAC